CGCGTAAAATAATAGTTTTCTCGTAATCTACCTATCTTTTCTTGGACAATTACAGCCAATTGACGCGTGAAAACGCGTTAATTGGTGGTAATGGCTCCTAAGTGGCCTCAGGTAAATAATGGTCCAGAACACATCAATAAGCATACTATATACTTTAGAGAAGCTTGCCACCAATTGTAGGACGTAGATAGGGGCAGACATAACCAGGTGTCATAGAATATAATACAGTCATATATTGTATCCATTATAGCGCTCGCTAGTAAAGTTCTCCAACAACCTACGCTGACAGAGATCCTACAATATATTAAGGACGCAACTTACTGTATATAGAGTATATAAAGAGATATTATACTTATCAAGAATGCTGTTGGATCAAGCATGGCTCTATCAAGTATAGCCAACTTCAGTGGAGGTAGGAGGGTAGAAGCAATATAGGCTCAGATAGTATTAGTGTCTGGAAGCCTTGCTTCTCCACCTCCACTACCATATATAACACAAATAGTCGAGACCTAGCCTATAGGGTCAACATACCAGGACTATATAATAATAGTCAAGCTGAAGGATTGTGGAATCAGTTAAAGACTATATATACTACCTACAGTCAAGATCAGACAGTAGGTAAAAGCATCGATTCGCAAGAATGGACCAACCAGGTCTGTCAGAGTTATTATAGCACATCAACTTAAGAGTGGAGACATATAGATAATCACTTCTTCTACAGTAAAAGTTATTAAACTTTAGGAATACTAAGGTTAGATCAAAGGATTAGGAGAATATATAGAACTCATTATGCCAACATATAGAGTCATCGTCTATAGTATTCCCACCAATTCTATCAATACTAAAGATCAGGATACAACCATCTAGCATATACTGACAGAGAATAATTTCGCTATCTCAGAAGCAAAGATTTCCTTTGTAGGCTGGTTGACCAGAGAGGGATACAATAAGATAGCATCCTTAATCATGGTAGAATTCGCCGATTCTAAAATAGCTAACGAAATCATAAACAAGGGAATGATATAGGATGGTATGGTTCACAACTGCCAACTCTACGATCGTACCTACAAAGTTAAGCAATACTTCTATTACTTAAATTACAGTCATATCGACACTCAATATAGTGTAGCCCAAACATACGGTTATTGCACTAGATTGTATAAGTCTAAGCACTATAAACATAAGGAAGAACCCAGCTTCTCTCCCAAGTATATAGTCTATAAGGGCGTCCATACGACATAAAGTAATATCTACCTAGCAAGAAGGAAGGAGCTTGTTAAGATAGAGCTAGCAAAACAAACCTAAAGCATCTTCTAAAGAGTTCCCCCAAGGGTTGACAAGCCGAAATCCTACGGTATATAGACATCGGGCCGACGCTCTAGAAATAACATACTTTACCAAACAGACACTATGATAGAATCTCCGGCAAGGCTAGTATAGGAATCTCTTATCTTAAGAGATATAGAGATACTACCTAAAGAACTAGAAGGAGAGATAGCCTACGGTTTTAAAGTCCTAGAATGTAACGATCCTTCCTATCA